ATATTAAAAATTAATTAACAAAATTTAAAATTACAAAAATTGTACATTCATAAATAAAAGTGCAACAATAAAATACCCTCAAAGTTACCTGGTGCAGTAAATCCCAACTGGTTGCATACAGTTTGTGCTTCATAATTATAAGGTCCTGAAAAGTTGGTAATTGCTCCCCAAGCTTTGTTAATGCATATCTCCACTCTTCCTTCTCTATTTGTACGGCCATCAAGAAGCTTTATGTCACCATCAGTACAATTTGAATAGGTAGAGCCTTGAACTAAATGCGCAATTGTGATAACAGATAGAAATATTTTGCTAGGAGGTTACTACAATATTTCTCACCAGAACAAATCACACCAGAATACTTAATGTCACGACAATATAAGGAAGTATTGTTGAAAGGACAATCAAGGATATGTGCTTCATTGCCTGAGCAGTTTAGTTGGGAGACATATGTAGTGCGGTAGTAGTTCAAGGTAAAGAATGCAGCAATTGAACCTACACATAAAAATAAAGATTCTTTCAATGTAGTAATGTGAAATTTCACAGGTATAAACTAGAAATATTTTGAATGTTGCCTATATTAACAAGACTATTATGATGCATGAAGTACAAGCAAGGGTAATGATTAGGAGATGCTTAAAGCATCACAAATGTGTATTTAAAATATACCATAAGGAGAGAATCCAAGTTGCCTACAGATAACACTTGCATCATTATTGTCCCAGAAACTGTCCCTACAAATACTACCCCATACTCCTCCAATACATACTTCAACACGACCATAATAATATCCTTCAACAAGTCGAATATCACCAGTAGTACAAGATTCTATAAACAAAAAATAAGACATATATAATTTTTTTACCTTAGAGAATTACAAAATAAAAATGATTTAAAATATAAATGATTTTACTACTAACCAACACACGTGATTTCAATGGCCTTATGGTAATACTTTGGTGTTCTGTAAAATAAATATGAAGAGCAAGAGCTAAAATTGCTTGCATTCCCACTACAACTGAATCTTTGATAAGCTACAGGAAGTAATTTTTGATATGAAACAACGCTGTAAGTGACTCCTATAAAAGAGAGATAGAAGCATTGCACATGTAAATAAAATGTACAATTTTTTATATACCAGTTAGTATTGGAAATCCAAGCTGACGGCATGCAACATTAGTAGTAGAGATAGACCAGTCGACATAATGGTCACAACAAAATGTTGTCCAAACTTTATTTGTACAAATCAGCAAAATTCCTTTGTTGCTCTTGCCTTGTCCAGATAATTTAATGTCACCGTCAGTACAATTGACAGGATTTATGATAATATCTAGAAAAAGCATTAAAATTACTTCATGTGAAACAAAAATACTAACCTCTTTGACAAGATACAACTGCTGCATAATTTGAACAAGTTCTGTTAGTGTCATACTCACACTCATAAATACTACTTTCATTTCCATTGCATCTCATGTTAAAAAACAATAACTGATTATTTGCTAGGAACCATGATATATAATGAACTTTAGCACCTAGAAATGACAAAATCACAGCTCACATGGGTACTACTAGAACATTAAGTACATTTATTTTAGCTCAACCCTGTACTTCTTGCAATTAGTGATACTTAAGGCCAGTAATTCTAATGGCATTGAACCAGTTTGAAACTTTTTCAGTCATTTAAAATCTGATGCGCACGCATTTACTTCAATGTGCATTATGTTAAACCACTTTCATATCTTCTTTGAATGTACACATTCAATAGATAACCAGTGGCAGAAATATATTTTTAACAAAAATAAACAAGATCCTGAAGAATGAGTGTGGAATCACTGCATGCACATTGAAGGCAAAGCCAGTTCAAACCCCATTGCAAGTGTAGAAATGCCTATATATTCCTTGGCACTTATAATGCTTTGCACTGTACCACCATTTTGAGGTTAAAATTTGTACTTGTTCAAATCTGTACTTTTTATTTGAGTTTAATAACTCCAATGCCAAATACCTACAAATAAGGCAATGCTTCTTACCATAATAGGAGTATCCAGCACTATAACAAAAGACACTGGCAAGTTCATTAGTTGGTACAGTATCCTTATATCCACATAAATAGTGCCAATGGCCATTATTACATACACGAGCAAATCCAATATTATCCGGTGAATAAGATGAAAACACACTGTACAAGTCAACAGAACTGCCATTACAAGGTTCTATAAATTATTAAATTTTATTGGAATTAATCAATTTTTTAGTTCATTAGTACCTGGAGTGCCTTTACACATTGCACCAGCTTCTTGATAATTGTTGCATTGAGCCTTGAATGGAAGTCTCTTCCAAACACAGTTTGTAAAGTTTTTAGAATAGTAACTGTGACATGATGGATAAAAATAGCTAACTGGTGTCTGTCCAACTCCAAAATGTGAATTATAAGTTGCTTTACCATCTGTAAAAATAGTAAAACATAAAAAAATTATCTAAAAATATTCCCAAAAGTTTATGTAGTTGCATGCAGTAACCAAATAGTGCAAATACATGTAGGAAGAAACTCAAGAAAGGCTATTGCACATGAGTAAGACTCAAATTCTTTTCATACTTTTTATGATGAGTACAATGGAGTACCCAAGGAATTAATTACAATGCATAATATTACAGAAAATATAAAAACTGATGGTACTCATGCAGTAACAAAAAAATTGCCTAACATAGCAATTTCAGAACTTCACTTGCTTTACCTACATATCCAAGTTGCTGACACAAAATAAACGCTTGTCCACTATCCCATTCATAGTCACATATTGATTGCCATACTCCATTAACACAATATTCTACTCTTCCTTGATGTTGGTCTGATCCACCAGTTAATCTCAATTCATCAGTTCTACAATTTGAATTAACTACATCTGGCACTGAGAAAGGTACAATTAATGAATAATGAAATAAAAACAAATATTAATCTTACATTGGCATACAACAGCAGCATCATCATCATGATTACAAGAATAATTACTAAGACCGTTCATAGGGCAGTCCCAAATTGATGATTCATTCCCAGTACAGTTCAGATCTTTAATAGCTATAGACCAATCTCTTTCAATTATCATTTCATTAAAAGGTGTAGCCCCTATACACAAAGTAAGTATAAAAGATTATTATCACTTATCAGTATAATTAAAATAGAGTTAATAAATTTCAATTTTCATGTAGCTAAATTATTAAATTTAGACTAGCTTGTAGCTAATTTATATATTAATAAAAATTTAAGCATGTATGTGCTTGGCAATTCACTGGCAACTCACCATAAGAAGAATATCCTAACATTTTACAAACAACACTAGCATCTTGCTCGTCCCAGAAATGATTACAAATGGTTCCCCAGTCATTGTTAACACACACTTGAACTCGCCCATATCTCCTAAAGTAACTGCCCAATTCACTATACAGGCGAACTGTACCATTGACACATGGAGCTATAATAGACAATTATAACAATGATTTAATCACTATAAAATTTGTAATAGCATGATGTCACCATGATGTCACAAATACACACTAACATCTAACATCATTAATTTTTTGCTAGATACATGTATCTTTGCTAAAATAACTTATTTACTCAATGTATGGAAACAAAAAAGGAATGACCAAGTAAATTTGTGGATAATTTAATAGTACATTAATACAGAATTTATAAGGATAATTTACCTTCACATCTGATTCCAACATCATATTTATGAGTGCAGTGTTCTGAATGTATCAACTTGTGATGACAATTGAGAATGTTTGTCTCATTATTATTTTCACAATAGACACGTGAAATAAAGATAGGACCAGTTCCTTGGCCAAACTGAACAGGAGGATCATCAAAATAACCTTAAAAAGAGTAGGCAATATTAATATGAGAGCAGAAATAAGTAAATCATTATTGTTACCAGGTTTGGTCATGATTTATCATTAACACACCTAAGTCCCTGTATCCAAGTATTCTACATATTGTAATATCGTTCCCTTGATACCAGTTCCAATCAATCCAGTAGTGATAAACAATTCCACAGACAGTTCCCCATACTCGATTAATGCATACTTCTATCCGTCCTTCATAATCCGTCTGACCACCTCTGAGTCTTAGATCACCATCAACACAATCTTCCTTTTGAGTGTCATTACCTATAATATTGGACAGTTTGATAATACATGTATTATTGATTGTATCAGGAAGCTTACTTTGGCACACGATTGATGCAAAATGAGTGTTTGGGCAATTATACTTGTCAGATAATTTATTATACGGACAGTTTAAAAAATTATTCTCAGTTCCAGAGCAGTTCAAATCAATCATATGATATGGCCATAATGAAAATGGATAGAAAAACCCTGAAGCAGCTACAGCTCCTGTAATGATAAATAATACATGTATTCATATAGGATGTAGTTTTATAGGAAAAATTAAATAGAGTACAAAAAGGTTTTTAAAAGCCATGAACTACAGTTACAGCTGTAATCAACCAAAAAGCTCATTGATTAATCATCTTAGTTACAACTACTAATGCAGCTGCATGCATATGTCCTCTCTTAAATTTCAAAGTCTGCAATAAGTAATTTGCTACATAAAAATTGCCATAATATGGTTACTATTTACTTAATTAAACATGCTTCACTATACACAGTGTCATCATTACTATGTCAACAAACTGGAAATACAATTTTAACTATCATGATCTAATATCACACTGACCATAAGGGGAATATCCTAGCTGACTGCATATTACACTAGCATCATTATTATCCCAGAAGTCACTGCAAATTGTTCCCCAAGTACCAATAATACACAATTCCACACGACCAGTAGAAGAAGTTCCTTCTTGTAACCTAATAGAACCATCCTCACAGAGAGCTATGAGAATAAAGTAATACATGTACTTTATATTAGTAATGAGAGATACATGTAACTCACGTTCACATTTTAACCCAATGTCATAATAATGATTGGAGCATTGTGAATTAGCAACCACAAATGGATTTCTGTCACATTCAAGTAATGAGTTTTCTGATCCAGTACAAGACATGTATCCAAGAAACACAGGACCAGTACCTTGACCATACTCACTACTGCTAAACTGCTTTCCAGCTAAAATAATAATTTATTATAAATCAAAAGTCAAACTTCATTAATTACCAAATTCCTGGTATCCCAATTGTTTGCAAGCAACTCTAGTATCTTTAATGTCCCATTGCTGACTGCATACAGTGCCCCACAATTGATTAATACACACTTCAAGTCTTCCTTCATTTTCTGCTGAGCCACCAACCAAACGAACATCTCCAGATACACAACTAGCTGGTTCCAATGTCATATCTAATCACAAAAATGATAATTTTTGTTTTAAAAATTGTAGGCCAATTACTTTGACAAATAAGTGAAGCATCATGAGATGGTGAACAGGAGCCAGTCTGACCATGTGAACAATTAAATATACTGACCTCATCACCAGTACAATTAGGATTAACTATACCAATAGGCCATATAGTCTCAGTATAATATCCAGAAGCAGGTATAGCACCTATAATAAAGTTCATATGCTGTAATACAGTGTATAATGTACCATATGGAGAGTATCCAAGTTGATTACATACAACAGAAGCATCTTTATAGTTCCAATTGTCACTGCATATTGTAGTCCATATTTCATTAATACATATCTCCACTCTTCCATAAGTATAGTTTCCACCTTTCAGTCTTATAGTACCATTATTGCAACGAGCTATTATACAGTAATATTGATATTTAACACGAAAAATACTTCACTTACGTTCACATATAACAGCAGCATCATTAAAGTGATGAGAACAAGCAATAAATAAATCAGTTGTACTATAATTTTGACTACAATCAGTCAAGGACTTCTCTTGTCCTGAACAATTTAGGTATCTTAGAAAAATTGGTCCTTGACCTTGATTAAAGCCAAGACCAGATACATCACTAAAACTGTAACCTATTAATAAACAATAAGTTAACTTTTATAGGCCATTCATTTGTCGCTAACCAATTTCAAGTGCTCCTAAACATCTACAAACAACTTTAGCATCATTGCTAGACCAGCCATGAGAACAAACTGTGCCCCAGGCATTATTAACACACACTTCAACTCTTCCTTGAAACTGATTGGAACCACCAACTAGTCTTATCTGACCATCAGTACAGTTACTATATGTAACCAAATTAGAATCTATAGACAAATCAATAATGTAACACAAATACATATTGTACATGTATTATACCTTGACAGTACACATTAGCATCTCTCAAAGTTGAACAATTATATTCTCCAATCAGTTCATTAAAGGGACAGTCAAGTATATTGCTCTCTTGACCAGTACAATTGACATCAATAATATTATAAAATGGGGCAGATGATGATTCATATACAGAAAATGGCCCCAATGCACCTATGGTGGAATGAAACATATATATAACTGTGTATGACATTAATTTAATTACCGTAAGGAGAATATCCTAGCTGTCTACATATGACACTGGCATCTTTGTTGTCCCAGTACTCACTACAAATACTACCCCAAGTACCATTGAGACAGACATCTACAGCTCCACGATGTGAATATGATGATGACTAAATAGAGATAATGTAACAGATACTATAGAGGTAAGAAAGACCAGGCTGGAAACAACTCTACAATGCCTTGTACACTAGCTATGTCACACACATGTACTATAAATGTGCATTTTGGTAACAGGCACAATGGCTGATGTACCAAATTTTACCAAATAATGCATAAGCCTACATGTTTTTATATAGCCCTATAACACCATCATGACGATAAAATTATTCATGAAAAACACTGCATGTCTTGTATGCTATCCACAAAATCCAGAATTAAAAAAATACCTCTCACTGCTTGTTTATTCAAATGTGAAATTATGACTGGCAGCAAAAGTCTAGTTGCATTATATTACTATTTTAGTAAACAATATGACAAATACAAAAATTTCACTAAAATATATCCAGTAGCAACTTTGTTGCTATAGTAAGCAGTCACTGAGCCCTTTGATGTGGTGGGGCAAGTCAATATGGCAACTAACTGCCTCAATACAAGTTTACTGGCTGATGTTCAGTACATATATATTGTTAGGTTGAAGACACTCTGCTCAGTATCCAATGTCCCCCAGTAGTGCTTTAATACACAACCCTTCCAACCGATTACAATAGCCTCGATCTAATCACAGCACATTCTGAAAACTTACCAATCGAACTGATCCCTCCTGGCACTGTTCACTAGAAAATCCAACAAGTAAATGAACCAAAACGAGTACCACCAGCAGCATCGTTTCCAAAGCGTTGAGTCAAGTGTTGACTCACTTAACTGCATTCCTCTCGGCATTCCTACCATTTTTAACCACACTGTCACGTGAAATTTGTGAATTAAAATAACTTTAATAATGATAGTTAAAAAAATTATTGGTAATGAAGCATTTCATTACATGTTTTTCTCTTTCATATAACTGAAAGCCATCTGTATATCATATGCTGGAAATGACCTAAAATTCAATTTTTAGTGAAACAAATACAGAACTCAAGTTCTATTTAGTACTCACAGAGCCAGTGCTGTTGTGATAAATATTCTGAACAATGCCATTTCTTGTCTTCTTGGTATAAATATTTTGACAGGAACTGGTACTAAAACAAATATAGTCACATGCTAATTGCTAACTTCTATAGTTAGCTTACTTCAGGTAGTTCATTAGGGCAATAAGTATTATTAGTATTATTATTATTGTCAAGACTCCTGTTACAATTCCTGTCACTATTCCTGCTATTTGCCCAGCAGACAATTCTTCATCTGCAGGAGCTAGTGAAACATCAGTTGTTGCGGTATTTGATGGTGGATCAAGTGGTGTAATACTGGTAATAGAAATTCCAGCATCATTATACTGTGATTCAGCTGCCTAAAAATTAAAAATTAATATAATAATGTCAATGAAATAAAATTCAGCAGTTTAACTTACTTTTACTGCTGTTGTCACAATACTAGCATCAACAAGAGCCCCATATTGACTACTGACATAGAATATTACCATTAATCCATTAATTGTTTCAGTGATTTCGGTAATGACAATATTATCAGGTACTATCAAACCTCTCGTACTATACATGTACAAGGCAGAAATTAAATACAATAAAGTCTGCATTACTTTTTTCTGCAGTTAACACTACAATAGCTGTTAATAGCTTTTGCTGTAATGTTTTTGAAGTTTTCAACATCAAACTACAGGCAATAGAAGAGATGTTATGCTTGGAATCATTGCTGAAAATTGTTGTTACTAATAACTTACAGTGCTTGCATTGGACCCTTTGAAAACAACAACCACACCATCTGAAATTGGTAGAAGAGTTGGATTAGGAGCAAATGAGGATAGCAAATATAGTGAGGAAGAAGTGATAAATTGGACTGAGGAGGATGAGGAGAAAAGTGCATGCTCCGTAATGGCTACATAATAAGTAAAAAGAATAAAAAAAAAGATGGCAAGACTAGTATACTCATGATAATTATGAATAACATGACTAAAAGCGCTTTATCCATCTGATTACTGTTGTGCCCTAATATCATGTTCAAGATAATTTGCACAAAAATTTAGAAAAAAACACCACACAGGACTAAACAAGAGTTTATGGGAAGTTTATATGTGACAAAAGATCAAATGAAAACCTCAATGGCAGTGGAGAGCTATAGTGTGATTAGGGTAAAGTCTAAAGTGTAAGAGATTACATTTTCATATGCTAATATCTTTATGCCTATAGGCACAAGTACAGGGGTGATCCAATGAGATTCACATTGTGTAACACAATGCATGCTAAATGAGGTAAATAGCATGCTCTGTAAGCCAATAAGCATTAATAATAATTGTGCATAGCTTTTCAAGCAAATTAAAAGATTTGTAAAAATGCAATTTTGATCAAAATTAGCTCAAATTTTGTACACAACATAAATACATGTATGCAAATCAGAAAAAATTATGAAAATAGAGAAAATTTCCTTTCTATATTTTTGATGAAATTTGGCAGACGACCATATACTACAGTGACTTTAGCTCAATTTTGAAGCAACTCTAAAAATTTTGTAAAAGTATTTGATTGCTATTGGAATCAGAAAAACTTTTTACACTACATAAATACACATATGTATCAGAAAATATCATAAAAAGAAGAATTATCTTCTTCATATTTTTGGTGAAATTTGGCCTACGATCATGTACTACAGTACAGGACTTTGATCCAATTTTGAAGCAAAATTAAAATTAAAAAAATGCCAAATTTGATAGGAATCAGTTCAAAATAACATGTAAGTGCATTGAAACAAATTATAAATATGAAAAATTTCTTTTATGTCATTCTGGGTGAAATTTGGCTGAAGACTATGTATTGATATATTGATGAAAGAAAGAGTACAAAAAAGGACAAAAATGATTCGATACCAGCATTCCAACAATGAGCCTACTTTTGTGACGCAAATTCTACTAAAAATTGTAACTACATGCAAATGTTTATTAATATTCAAACTACTACATTTTGTGCTTGACATACTTGTTGCCAGAGGCACAACTGTAGAATCCTCTGACAGACACTTTCCTAATGATTCTGTTCACAAAATGATGACAAACCATTATCAATGAAATTATATTGTACCTTGAGCTGCTAACAGTATAAATAAGAGGGCTACACATTCAGAAGAATCCATCTATAAATACACAGATAAAGAATAACAAGTGTAAATAAGCATAAGGAGACAACATAAACATATCAACTATACTAGGAATACTAGGAATAGCAAGTGACATGCTTAAACATTGTAAACAACCACAGTCAAAGAAGGAAAAGTTAGAGAAATCACTAGAAGTGGTCCACAAAACCACATTTGAAATATATAATAAACGAATTGAAGTAAATAAATAAATTGGTTTACATGTATAATCAGGCAATTTAGTTTCTAACTAAAAATTGGATAGTAGGCGCTTTACATGCTTGATTCTTGTATCAAGCACAATAAAAAAAGCACTATTAAATAATGCTACAAGTTAATACTATATGCTATGCAGTATATAGACCAAGTATTTTATAAATTAAAAGGCCATAGGCTAACTCACATCATGCTTCAAGAGCTGGTTCCAGTAACACAAACAGAATTAGAAGATGAGCAATACAGATTAAAGTACAGGCACTCAGGCAGTAGAACTGGCAAGACAGAAAGTTGAATCCTGTAGTAGTAACAATGTAGCTATTAATGAAAAAAGTTATGGTAGATTAACATACATGCATGTAATGCGCATATAATATATGGATCTAAAGATCTATTATTGCAATTTCCTGTGCTAGATATTCATAAAACAGGAAGCATATTAATTTTAAAATATAAAATTTACAAACAAATAATTAGAATATTAGCCCTCAAACACACACAAATGATACAATATGAGAATTTTGTTTTGCAAAGTTAACATTACAAACAAACATTTCTACCAAAAAATTAAAAAAACAAATAAATTAGTTAACTTCATTCAAAGACTCAGTGGTTGATAAATACTCCATTCGTCGTCTGTATTCCAGTGATTGATTTATAAACTTTGCAATATGATTCTCAGCTATATTGTGAACATTAATTTCACTGCTCCTCACACGATACTTGTACCTCCTAGCCAACCAGAAAAACAACAGTGCAATGAAGAAAATTGATATAGTTTTTACAAGGAACAAGTAAAAACTGCACAGTGAATAAGTGAACAGGTAGTGCTGAAAGGCAAGATCAATAAGTAAACTGATTATGGTAGCTAAACCTTTACTAACACCAAGCAGTCCAAGCATTGTTCCCCTCAATCCTTTAGGAGACTGAGCTAAAGTGAGTTCTATTGAGAGAACACGAATAAAATAATCAGCAAAGCCGTACAAGATCCCAGCTCCTAGTGGCATCCATTCATTAACAATCAATGCCATCACAGGAGCAGAATAAGAGTCATTGCTATAGTAGCTGGTAGATGCATTAATTGTATCAATGTTAGGATTAATACAATAAACTGCTGAATGAAAATAGCTTGAAAGACTTATAGCAGTATAAATGAGAGAGCTTGTGAGAATTAATAGTAAACCAAATGATATCCTCTTCAAAAGATTAGGGATGAAATGATAAAAGCAAGGATAAAATAAAAATTGATACACAAGTATACAAGCTATAGGTACAGTGGACCTATTATTAACCACCATGATTACTGCAAAATAGCTAGTAGAGTCACTAAAAATTTGAAATTCAAAACCAATAGCGGCCACACAAATAAAGAGTGGTATTAATCTTAGAACAGTCTTCACATCTTCTACTTCCTCCTCAGTGAATGGTCCACCATACTTATCTTTACCCAGGTCCAATCTTGAAGGAGCCTCTTCCTCCCAGTAGGTCAGAGCACTACGATTCTCAGGATACTTGTGCTTTCTGGCATAACACAAAACTCTAACTATTAGTTTGATGGGATTAGTTGTGCTCACTGGAGTTGTGTCAAGATGACTGTTAAAGAGACTGTGACTGAATAGCACAGCAACAATACAAAAGCAGAAAATAGTTAAAGATATCCACTGAAAAGTAAATATTTCAGTATAAACATTTAAAATGGATATCAGTAAAGTACTGAAATAGACAGCGATCCTATGCCAGTGTATGATAGCACTTAGTTCATCACTTGGAGACCCAATAAGTTGATCAATATTAAATGGTAACAGAGTCGTTTGAAAAAATGGAAATAGAATTAATTTAAATCCAAAAAGTACACAAGCAATGATAAAGCCAGTAGTGTAAGCTCCATATACCATAGCAGTATAAGCAGACCAGTACAGTATGGGACACAGTAGTGAAACATTAACACAAAATAAGAGTAACTTATATCGACTCACAAAAACATCGCTGATCAAGCCTGCAAATGGCCATGTAAAAGTAAAAGCACTCATTACAAAAGCATAATTAAACAGAAGTGACTGAAAATTATAAAAGGACACCATTAACTGAATAAAGGCTCCATTAAGGTACAGCTGAAAAAAACATAAAATAAAATCCCAGAACAAAACCAGTAGTGCTCCTTTTGAATGAATAAACTGGAAGCGATACCTTCTATGAAGACTAGGTCTAGTAACTGATGATGATCTTAACAGAGGAGCACGCTCATACATTTCAAAAACACACTCAACTAACAAGCTGCAATCTAGTTAACAATATTGAAATGAAAAATGAACGCCAAACAACTTAATGAAAATATATGTAAATTTCTATTGGCACACACAGTATATCACTTTCAGTGATAAAATGATGCTATCAGTCAGTAGTTAGATCTATTCATTTTTTGATATAAAATATTTTTGTTATTTGATCAGGTAAATACTCTAATAGGAACAAAACAATTTAAAATTTATAAGCAAAAAGACAACAATTTACTAAGTCCACAACCAATTTCTGACTTTATGCAAAATCACCACTTCTATCGAACAACAGTTCATCATAATCACTGCAGGCACACGTGTTTCTTTGAACTTTATAAAATTTAGAGAAACATTTCAAAAAAACCTTTAGGACAGCAGCAACCAGTGGAACATATATCAGCCCCATTTGTATCCATTGCATGGTAATGGTCTCAGCTGTGTATCCATAATTGGACACAAGGTAATATATACGCATAGTGAATCCATTAATAAATGCCATATTAGTGAATACAAGGATAGCACAGATATTATGACTCTTCTCTTGAAAAGGCTGAGCTATAGCTTGTATCACTATAAAAACAACCAGAGCCAATGCTAGTAGAAAATAATAATGATGAATACTTGAGGCTAATACAAGCAGACAAAGTACAATACAACGATAAAAGAAGTAAAGACCAGCAAAGAAACGATATTGATCCTTGAAAGGTCCTTGGAATGAATCAAGAAGAGGCTTCAGCTTATAATGTATTGCAGTCCATGGCATTAACCTTCGAATAAAAGCAAAACGAATGGCCACTTTACTCTCAACCTTTAACAATAGTCCATCAAATGTGAGTATCAGCGGAAATGGAATTATGAATATTATCAATGAAACGATAGCTGGTATGGCATACTGGAGGTGATGAGGACTGAAATACTCCAATGATCCATCCCAAAAGACAATGTCTTTGTATACAGTGCCTCCAATGCCACGTGGTGATTCCCTATTGAGCAACAAAAATGATATATGTGAGCATTGAAAGTATGATATGACTAAGAAAGCAGTGAGGCCTTGAACTACAGAGTAACTGAAAATACTTTTACAGCAATATTTGCCCTTCAGTCCACAAGTATAACACCTAAACAAGTACACAAATCCAAAAATAAGCAGTACTGCATAAATGAATGATACATATTTGATGATTGCTATATCCAATGTGCTTGCTTCCCTCCACAAACAGAATGAGAGTTCATCAATATTGAAAAATTCAAGATTCAATGTGCTGTAGAGTACAGTGTAGATACTACGTATGATTGTAGGTTTAAACTCAACTGCTCCATTGACTGACACTACCATAGTTTCTAGTAACTGTGCCATGAAAACGAAGCTATAAGCTAGTCCTGTTGTTAGATTAATATCAAAGTATACAATTGTAAAGAAGAGACCAGTTATTGGTAATATTTCACTGAGAAGATAAAGTAAAAATCCAATCGGGCAAAGATGACTTTCCCCACATTTATTGGTGTCTGAATGAAAATAAACAGAATAGCCTTCTTTACATTGGCTACACATTGTCCCATGCCTATTTGATGTACAAACAGCTTTATCCATTTCTTTTATAGAAGCAATATCAGCTAAACTGTAATCTTGTTTAATCCTACCACTGCCTGCTTCTACATCAAAGTAGTGACAAAAACCAAAAGGACAGCCAGTAGTATATAAATTCATTTGATTAGGTTTTTCATTCTCATTAGATAAGATGTAGCCAACCCAGTACCCACTAATAGCTACTCCTTTATTTTCTATGCAACCAACAATACCAATATATGTGAGTGATTTATTGTTTTGTGAAGCTGAACACGCACAACTAGAGGAATCATCATCAATTATAAAACCAGGTGGACATGATGCTAGTTCTATACCAATACTAGCTCCAATATTTTGAAACCCAGATATTTTTAGCGTCAAGTTACTTTTATCTCCTGGTTTTCCCATCAATTGTATTTTATTGTCAGCTACAAATTCAAAACCAGGTGATACTTTGATTTTGCTTTCAATTGGTATAAAAGGATGAAATAAAGTTATTTTTGTCACATTTTGGCCCATATCATCTAATAGTGTTAATGGTAGTGAATATGTTCTTCCTGGTACAATAGAGAGCGGCGTGGATTGGTTGATTTTAAACAATGAGCCACCAGATGCAACCTCATCATTGTCAATTTCAAATATTCCAATACAGCTCTGGTTCTTAAAAAGTTCTGTTGGTTTTGGAACACTGCCAGACTGAGTCAGACAAGCAAACTGACATGGTCTGATGGCATTAAGAAATATTGAATCAGCTATTCCTGTGAAAGACCAGTTATCAATGAATGAGAACCTGGCATTAGTTTCATAGGAATGTTCATTTTTATCATTATGGTATTGAAGAAAGCAGGAATGAGACGAGAATGATATTGTAGTTGAAACACAAATGGCTCCACCTACAAAGTTAGCTGAGTTATTAGTGAATAAAAATGTCGTGTCATTATTGTACTGAACATTAGAAAAACCCACAAGTTTAATTGCTCCTCCAGCAGTACCTGTGTTACTAATAAACTCAGTAACTGCTCCTCTTTTAAAAAATGCAGATCCAGACATTATATACAACGCAGTCCCACTGTTGTTATAGAATGCATTGCTACCTTCAAAGTAAACTGTTAGTTTAGCAATAACAAACACACCAACGTCTTCCTTGAAAGTATATGAAGGTGCTTTTACTGGATCATAGTATCTTTGAATGGTGTTATTAGAGAATGAACAATTTTCGAATGTTATTTTGGTAGTGAAGGCATTGTAATATTGACTTTTATAATTTGGGTGAATGCTGATAGCAGAACTAGCTGTGCCACTGTTACTAACCCATCTGCTTTTGATAAAATGAACATAATTGTACATTGCAATTGATCTATGAGGATCCAGTGCATTACAGTAAATCAGAACTCCACTAGCATAATACCCAGTGTTACTGGAAAATGTAGTTTCAATAACCGTTACATTATTGTTAGTTGACATGTTGCCAGAATGGAGAGAAATTCCCATTGACATTGCAGCACCACCAGTATTAGACAAAGAAAGATAATTATTGGAAAATTTACAATTAATCAGAGTTACTTTGTTGTCA